AAGGGTGAAGTTTTAACATAAATATAAAGCCTCGAACGCCCGCGCTTGGGATAAACCCAAACGTCACCCTCGGGTTGGGTGCTTAACTGAGGCAGCAAAAAAACCCACCCTGTATCCTTTCCTGAACTATTAGAGTTGACCTGTTCATTTCTGTTATTGATGTGTATAGATTTTAAAGTCCTCCCAAAAAAAAGCAGAGGAGGCAACTGAGGTGCAGGATTATTTTCTTGTTTCTGCATAAAACCCATCTTTACTGGAGGTGTTCATTTACTTGAACTCCTCAGGCAACATCTCTAACGGAAGCACTGTGCGGAGCCACATCGCCCGTTTGTGTATTTTCAATTTTCTTCTCCAGAAAAAAAAGAAAATAATAAAAAAAGCTGGCGTTTTGAAAACAAGGGGTAGCTTCTTGCATCAAGAGTGTTTTGAGCATGCGGAGCTGGGATGAGCACGCGTTGTCTTCGCAGGGTCTGGTCTGTCATTTCTGCTCCCAGAACATGGTTGGAGCACATCAACAAACCAGCAGTGCCCCAAAATTTGTACAAAATTTGCACAAAAGACAGCCCCTTCATGCCATTCATTTATGCCCCTCTTCTGCCTGGAAGAAATAACCTGTTCTTTAAGACAGTAGTGGCTTTGAAATAGGATATAAATTGTTATTTTAACATTTGACTTTGAAGGACACACTACTGGGTTGGAAAGGAATGCCTGCTAGTGAGTTCATCCTTAAAAATAATGAAATTTGGTAAGAAGCTACTAATGTTTAACAAATAGCGAGTTCAACGATAAATGGAACAAGCTCTACTCTCCCACTAAATTCTTCCTATCCTGCAGTCCTACAAAAAGGTCATTTGGTGGAATTATGGCAGCAAAGGCAAAACAATCAGTTTTTCCAGCTTTACTGCTGAAGTCAGTGGCATGCTGTAGTTGAACCATTTTAGTCTTACTAGTTGAAATATCTGTAACTTTCACTAATTATGTAATGGCTAAATCAAAGTTTCTGATTTTTTTTTTTAAATATATCTTTGATTTGTACAAGCTTACTTGTCTAAACAGAGCCCAAAGTGAAATGAGATGTAGTTCCTGCCGACCACTGAGCTAACAGCTGCTGAGGTGCGTGCGGAGAAAGTGTCTGCAGCACCATCGTGGTGCTCTCGCATCTTCTCAAACTCATTACAGACCCTGTGATCAAAGAATGCTTGCTTGCATTTCTTGGTTCTTTCAGAAGCACGGTTAATTATCTGCATCTATTCATAGTCTAAACATTCAGCATTAATAAAACTATGCTGGTTGCTCGAGGGCAGAGCTTGCTGCGTTTGTTATCAACAATAAGCAACGAGAATTAATTGTCTCTCATTAATTCAGTGGTGAACAGCTCGCTTCGTATGGCTTTAAAAGTGGGAGATGGCCTCACGACATGGTGTTGTGACGCTGTTGAGAGGAGTGGGTTGTTCTCTCTCTCATCGGTACCTGTGCACCACAGTTGCCTCAGTTTGCCAGCTCCAGCCCTGGAATTGGTACCCGCCTGCCCGCGCGGAGCTCACTGAGCTCTGCACAGACACAGCAGAACTCCCACGTAATTTCTGCTTCGCGAAATGGAGTCGGCTTCGAGAGGGTTTGCTGCTTGTCCAGACACAACTCCGCTTTGTCACACCCAATTAATGCCTTAATTCTGAATCACGCTGGTAGGCTTGTGCTCACAGGCAGAACTCACTGCAGGTCTTGTGCTTCAAATATTTCAAAAATTAATATCCATGAGTATTTTTGCATAAATGAGTGGTGCTGTTCAGCTCATGATGGAGGCCTTTCTTTCCTAAGGAAGGCTAGGAAATGTTTTAAAATAAATACATACACCAGAAAACTCTGCTTTAAACCATGACAGCTGTCTACAAGACGTTGCTACCAATTAATTGCATTTGTCCCCAGGATAATGCAGGCTGGTTTTCTTTGATTCTGAAAGCTGTATGGCTTGAGATCAGCATGGTCACAGCCTATAATCCTCAGACTTTACCTTTCTGGTGGCCAGTGGCTAAAAGAACCTTATAAATTTAAGAATATTCCACAGCATGTCTGTGGAAGGAATCTGATGTAGAGGCTTAGTCTCCATAGATTTTATGATTCATCACATTTGATAGACAAGGAGAAATATGAAGTATGGCCCATGTGCACTGCTGTAACTAACTGACATGAGACATCTATCATCAACTACCATTTGTATTCTACTTCATAGGTATTTATATCTCCCATTATTGAATTCCTCAGAATCCGTAAACATATTTCTCTTCACAACAACTTAATGAGTTCAGGGTGAAGCATCACAGTTAGGAAAGTGAACAAAGAGAGTGTTCTTGCTCTGGGTGGCAGGAACATGGTCACAGAGAAACCGAGCACATCTCTTGTCAGTACTCTGCCAGTACCCTGACCATGTCACGCCTCTTTCCATTTGCACACTGTTTGTTTGCTAATGGAAATAAATACCCAATGTTCCCACTCAAAGACATCTCAGCTGTCAAAATACAGTACTAAATGAGCTGCTGTGGAAAATAATTTTATAGCCAAGTAGGTGGGCCTTGAGTACTTTCAGAGAAGAGCTGTAGACTGTATTTTACAGCGTTCCTAAAGATGAGCTGTCACAACATGTTGGTATGCGGGTTAGGGGTGAATTGGTTTTGCATCTTTATATTTTCTTATAAAAGGCTGTGCTGCTCTTATTATCTGCACCACAAATTCCAACAACTGCTTTATGAATTCATCTGCAGTTGGGTTTTATCCTTCAGAGCATCACACTTTATCTAGGGTCTTCATTTAGATTCATCAGCGAGGATGAAAATAAAATTTAGCTTTAATTTAAAGGCTAATTTAGATTTCAGTATATGATGAACATTCCATGTATGATTACTGCCATCAAAGTCAAGTATATGCATAAATCTTTGCATGACTCAGGCCAAAACATTTTTAAGTATCCACTTATTCAATACATTTTATATAAAGAATTATCTGTTACTTATGCAAATGGCTTAACTAGGTAAATCTTGACACAACTAAGTCTATATATATACTACTCATTTTCTTACTCTTCATCTATCTTCTACACTATATGTTATTATCTGATTCTTCCAGCACTTGAACACAGTTCTCTAACTGTAAATGTGACATTATTCTTCTGCTTGAGTGTTTATAGGAGCAGCAAGAGTATTCTGCAAACAATCACAAAAACTAACTTTGCAGGAAAATGTCTAACAACTAAAACAGCTAACAGCATTGACTGTATAATTTGGTAGAACAAACTATTAAAAAAATAAACACTAAATAAAAAATAAAAAGCTGTACTAAATTATATAATTATTGCTATACATAAAGGAATAATACAGGTTTTCCCATTAAAATATCATCATTCAGCTACAGCAAACAAAATTCAACTAGTCCACTTAAGACAAAGTGAAATCACCAAAACTTTAATACTATATTTCTGGCATGCAACATATGCATAATTAAACAGTTGAAAAACATATACAAGTGAAGTATACATAATGTAAATACAGTCTCGCTGTGGATTGTGTCTATCAGTATATTCACAGCACCAGTCATAAAGTTTGCTAGCAAGAAAAATAGCAATTGATTTTTATTAATAGCGCTGATCAGGCAAGCGTGCGCCAGCTTGCCTTCCCTCCCCATCGGCACGGCCCCCGTCTCGTGGTTTCTACTGGTCCCAGGGGGCTTGACGACATTCCAGCAACAGGGCACGCTGGACCCCTTCACCAGAAGCTTTGCGAACACCAACGTGAGATCAGTCACCACAAAGAAGATGAAGAAAGTCAGGCAGTGAGCAACCACCCAGAGGCAGTAGGACAGGTTAGCCATCCGGCGGGACACCGGGTCCACGTACGCTTGCGACACCTGAAGAAGCAGGAAAAGCACGAGAACCGTGAGCAGTAAGGAGCGCACGGCTTCGATCCAGCCTCTGACTGAGCTTCTGCACTTCAGCAGCCACAGTCCCACTTGGACGCTCGCCATATATATGGCTAAGTAGCCAAAAAGAGAGAGCAAGCCTTCCCTGTTGGCATTTAAAAAGCCAATCCTAGTATCTCTGCCGTTGCTCCCGTGCAGGATAAACATCTTCAGAGAGGTTGTGTTGAGAATAAGCTGATAAAGTACAGCGAGATTTACAGCAACGAGCCAAGATTTATTTTTGGGAAAAATGGCTAAAAGTAGAGATGCTGCAAGCCTCACAAATGCTAAAGTAAAGAAAAAATTCCAGTGCACTCCATACTCTGAAATGTGTTCGTGGTAATCTATAGATTTAATGCTAAGCAGTCGTCCAACACCGAGAAAAATCAACGGCCAGACGGAAAAGAGCTGCCTGGGCAGAGTGGAAAATTTTGGTTGTGTCGCGTAAGACTTCTGTCTGACTTCAGGACAAACGAGAGCATTACCACATATATAAGCTCCAACCCCAAAATCCATAACACCTGTTCCATAGGTCTCGGCTTTGGCGTATCGCCTGGGATACTGCGGGAAATCCACTGCTAAAATGCAGATGGATGTCAACACGTTGACATAAACACGAAACACAGTTATTGCTGGAATGTATCCTGGATCCAAGGCTGTCGTCTGGAAGTCTTTTACAATTTGCCTAAAAGGCACTCGGGTCTCATGTTTCCTTTGGCTGTATATTTTAGAAAATATTCCGGCGCAGAAGGCTGCAACGATCGCTGGCACGAACAGGATGACTGGAGACAAGACCGTACAGGAGAAGAGGAGAGGAGATACTAGCACGAGGAAGTCCAGCAGCAGGTTGTATTTCCTTGAACTTAAGGGTTTCCCATAGCGCAGATAATACAGAATCAAGAGGAGCCCTCTGCAAAGCAGGCAGAGCGGACCTAGAGACAAGCCTGCAGAGATTTCCAACAAACTAGTTCCATTTAAGTTGCTGATAAAGGCTTCTTTCAGATGTTTTTGTGACATTCTTCTTTCTTCCTCCAAAAGCACAAACATGAACTCGAGTTAGTTTTGTAAAACACGGCTCTTGGAACTTCATCAAACACAAATCTTATTGTCCCCACTCATTGAAACATACACGGGTGTCAGAAGTCATCTGTTTTGCAGTTATTCAATTTAAAAACACAGAACAGCAGCCCTGGCACTCGCGAGGTCTGACCGAGACGCAGCGTTTGCAAATCTTGCTGCGTTCCAACAAAGTTCTTAACCTGTTTTTGCTGAAGCTCTCTAAGTATCAAACACTCGGTCGAATATTCACATTGTGAATAATATTACTGTCGGTCTGGCGAATATTCTTTGTCGTATTCTCTACAGCGTAAAAGAAAAGGATATGTAAAAACGTGAGCCTGGTGCAGTTTCTGTTGGCTGGGTCAGCAGCGAAACCAGCCCCTCAAATCCCCACAAGTGCCTTTTATAAG